ACACACACACACACACACTGAGTTGGACTCTCCCTTCCAGGCAAGACATGCACAAACAGGCCTAACCCACTTCACTGGCCCTGCACCACGCTGATGTTGCTTAATATGTAGGACATCTCTGCCATGTGTCCACAGAAGTAGGTCTGTCCTGTTCTGGAGAAAGACCAGCGAGAGCTACAACATGGAGCGAGAACATGCAATGCATGAAAAATGCATCTTTTCCAGTAACATGCACAAGACTCAGTTTTTTTTTAATTGGTGCGAAATGGATTGTTGACGTGCATTTTCTGTGAATCGACTGGGTTGATGATCCTTTCAGCTGCAGAGTAGTGGTTGTTTTTCTGGTGCCAGGGGACTGTGGGTCCGACAACCCGTTGATAACAGATAAACAAGTTTTTCACAGATGTTATGGATAAGTTAGACTTTGGAAATGTACTTTGATTAGTTAATTTCAACGTTATAATCATTTCATGAGACTTTTTAACATTAAAGGAAATGTGTCACTTGATTTGTACTTTTTAACTATTACGGTCATGTGAATATGACCAACTTCCCTTTATTCTAGTTCAAGCAGCCTGCAACCGACTCACTCCAGCTCCTGAATCTGTGGTTAAGCTCAACATTTACGCATCTTGCTTTTTTATAGTGCTCAAATCTATGGAAAATATAATGGCAGGCTCGATTTCCTGTCTCGACTCGTGACTATATCTGCACTCAGGTCTCTGGAAAGTAGTTCCTTCTTTCTTGACATCGGAGTTTCCTCAGTGATCAGCACTTTTCTCTCTTTAGCAAATTGAGATATAGCAGGGCAAAATGTGTGCCTCTCAGGGATTTGACAATTGTCATTAGAGGTATGTTTGGTTTTTTTGGTTTCTATTACCACCACATGCACCTTTAGGGAGGCACTCCCTTCCTGCATAGCTGTTGAGTCATTTCTCAGCTGAGACCAGGAAGTCTACCAGTTGAACTGTTAAAATCTGCAGACGTAGCTGTGGCTCTCCACATCTAGGCTTTTAGGTCAAGGTTGGTGAGGTTCTGTGTCCTGCTATGATCTAATTTAGCTCCCAAGTGTTGTGAAGAAAGAAAAGCAGATGCTGTACTGTAAGAATATTGCTTCATCTTACAGAGACTTTGCTTTATCACCTTGTCTTTTGTCGTCACAGGTGAAAAGTCATCGCTCATCCTGCTGTAGTTTCACATTTAAGGTTTTAGACTCAGTCTTTGGTGGTATCTCTTTTAACGACGTCACTTATTACCTACTGCACCCTGCTGGTGTAATTATACTGCCAACAAATGATAAATAACTGCCAACCTGCTATAAATCTAAATAACATTTCCTCAAGATTGTAACTCTGCCTGGAAATTAATTAAAATGTATGCAACATACTGTACAGCTGTAGATCAGTGCCTCTGTAGTGAAAGTGAGGCAGCAGCAGTGGGTTTCTCATGGACTCATTAGTGAGAGTGGTCTAAAGGTGTAAGGACTGGAGAGACTCTCTGCCTCGCAGATGAATCCAGTGTCGGCTCAGGTTACAGTTGTCTTTTGTAATATTAGCCTCTCTCGTTCGGGGTGTGTGTATCTGTGAGTACGTCAGGTGCAAGACTACGCTAGACCTGAACTGAAGTTAGTTAACCATCTACTTGAATGCGTAAGTCTGGAGTATCAGTTTGCATGTTGTCACACGCTCCTCTATGTATTATTACTGTTGTCAGACTCGGGGCCAACACATAGTCAGGAAGGGCAGGTAAAAGAGAGGAAGGGGACATTGAAGGGCCTGGGTCAGATCTGAACCGGGGCTGCATGGTACCCATCAAACAAACTGGTGCACCCCAAAGTTTTAATGTTACTGCATCCTAACTTTTCTCTGTTGCTGCTGAATTTGTTTGCTTGTGGGAACAAACATGTTCAATCGACATAGTTGGGATAACTGGGCGAGTCGTCACTCCTCACAGTCTGCAGTAACATGTGATGATCTACATGCCTTAATGCTCAGCAAGTCCCAACCTGCTTAGCAGCAACACCATCTGTGCTTTCCTTTTTGCTACGTAACCGCTCTTAAGGTGGAACTCTGTGACTTTCTCCCTCTCACAGAATGAAACATTTTCTTTCACTTAAATCTGGAAAAGCCAATAATTGCATGTGGGGGGGAGCGTGAAGATTGAGAGCATTTATTGAAGCAAAGACACAGAACTTTACATCTGATGACTGATGATTGCACAATTTACTTCAATCCTCGTGGGATTTAATCAACCAGCTGAAAATGTGTCCAGGCTTCAGAGCACAGTTGTTATTATCGTGTCCAATTAGCTAATTGTTAATTGCAGTCTTCATCTTGTGTCCCAGGAGTAATTCACTCGCCCAATTAGAAGGTTGGAACAGAACAGTTGATCAAGACACACAGTTGACAGCAGCTGAGTATTAACACAGAGAAAAAGCTTTTTGTTTTCAGTTTGGTCAAAACAAATGTGGATCTTAATTGTGGAACATTTTCCTGTATTTTTTTTAATGTAAAGCAAAATTGAAATGGCCTCCACGTGTCATGTGACCAGGGATGAGTAAATGCTTGATGTTGGCTCTTCCTGTTTTCACCTGACTCTCTCCTCTTCTCCACCCGACAGATATGGCAGAGTTGGCAGGTCTGGTGCAGCGGCTGGAGGTGGCGGTGGGCCGCCTGGAGGCCATGTCGGGCCCTGGAGATGCGGCTGCAGGGGGAGGTAATCCTCAGTATAATTATTAAGATAAGTTGATCAGATATTAGTCCGACGAATGTCTTTAAGTGTTACATGCAGACGATGAAAGGAAAAACAACTTCTCCTTAATCAAACAAAGAAGAAATTCCCAGACACGCGTAGGTCCTGAGTTCCTCTCAGTCGGAAACCTACCATCTCTTTTTCAGAGATGAAAAGATCTGACAGGATCCTCCCTCGTGAAGCAGATGAATCAAATCACTGCTGTGGCTGCACATGAAACATTTGGTTCCGATGGCAGCTTTCATCAGTGTTGACAATAAAACACCTGAGGATGTTGCGATGCTCATTGAACCAGTGCCACCTGCTGCTTTGGCAGATTTGGCTTAATAAAAAGTTTTTTCTGTCCTTTTGTTTATTTTTTTAATTTAATTTCAGTTTGTTTTCATTATTGGCTCAAAGAAATCTTTAAATACATTTGTATGTCTTGTTGTTTGTTAACTCTACAGCTGTATCACTGTACGTCGAGGCCTTTGACGAGATCATCAACGGTCCTGTGGCCCAGTACGTCTCCCTCAGCCAGAAGATAGGGGGCGATGTTCTGAAACATGTAAGTCGTAGTTTTGACTTGTATGTTCATCGAACTGTCTCGCTCTGCCCATCTCTGTGCAGTTTTCACATGTTTTAAAGATCTTCAGTTCTTTGTGAAACTTGCTGAATAAGAAATGCTTGAACTTGTGTGTGACTTTTTTGAATTCCCTCTCTTGTCCCTCCAGGCAGAGATGATGAAGAAGGCGTTCACCAGCCAGAGACAGCTCCTCGTCTCTGCCTCGTCCTCCCAGAAGCCCTCTGATGTGAGTGTAACACACTTGCAAATTGCTCAGTCAGTTAAAGTCCCAACTAAATGTGATAAATCTACACAACTCATTCAGTTCGCCTCCTGTCTGACGGACCCCTCCTCCTCAGTTCCTGCCCCATTGCAGTCTGAATAAAATCTTCTTCATACTAATTCTGTTTTGTCTCTTTCTTATTCAGACAGTTTTGACCACCCTCCTGCAGCCTGTGTCCAAAGCGATCCAGCAGGTGCAGGGGTTCCGCGAGGCAAACCGCACCTCACCGCACTTCAACCACCTCTCTGCCGTCAGCGAGAGCGCGCCTGCCCTTGGATGGATCGCCATGGTGAGACGGGATTGGAATAGCTAGTGTGTGTGTGTGTGTGTGAGTGCATGCGTGTGTGTAATGGCAGGAAACAAGCCCCTCTTTGATTCTGTCATCGCTGTCTGGTGAGCGACAGTTTCTTGGCTGACCCCATGGACACCATCAACAGAGCTGCACTGTTACAGTCTAGATGATGAACTCTGTTTGTTGTTGTCATTTTGATCCTAATGAATAATTTATCAGCTTTTT